AACTAAGGAAGATGATTTTGTGGCTTTTTGTTTCAAATGTTGTTGATAAAGTGTTTTAAGCTTTTTCTCTTAAGCTGACAACAGTTTAGTAAATGACTGTCTTTATAAGCAGAATTGAAACCTTATCTTTCTCTCTACCTGATCCCTCCAGAATTTAAAAACTCCCAGTGACTATTTTTATATTTCATGGCAGTATGTTTATTTGCACAAGTTCAATAAGAATCTGCTTTCCTTGTAAGAGGACCAATGAAAAACACTGGTTATATTACCAAGGCTTTGACTGGAACATCATACCTGAGAGACACGTGTGTAAACTCAGATATGAACAGACAGCTTTAAAGAACTAAGATTGACTTTATAAAGCCAACAAAGCCCCTTAGAAGAACTGGCCTGGTACCTTGCTTACAGAGTTCCCAGCAGCCTTACCAGGTGAGTAAGGAAGGTCACTTCCTGGCAGGTGCAGGAACCTCAAGAATGTCTTGAGAACCTCAAGAAGAGAAGAATTCACCCAAATGTACAGGTACTGCAGGCACAACTTGATGGCAAGTCTGGCTTTGCTGTCTGGCTTTGAGAGGCCTTTAAAAGTTCAATCTGAAATTCCTTACAAAAAGTTCCAGCAAAGCACTTTTAAAAGATCCCATGTAATCAATTGCTCTTCTTGCTGCACTTATGCAAATAATCAAGCCAACTGTTAATTATTTTCTTAATCTGGCTACTTCTAATAAAAATGAGAGTGATTTTAGAGAAAAGTATTGTTTCAATAATGCAGTCTTGTCTATACTAAATCCTAATACTAGTCATTGTAATGTAAACTCAATCCAGAATTCTAGTTTCCCCATGATACCTGGCTATGATTCTCAATTAGACTGTTCATATTTCTAGTTCTCCTATTCAGCCATACATTCTTAATCTCATCAAGTTTGTCCTTCCAGAATAGAAAATCCAACTCCAGATGTTGCTACTTAACCTAATAAGACAATTTGTTCTATCTTGCCTAGAAGCCACAAAACTGCAAATAGTAATAGCAATGAAACCCAGAATAGAAGCGCCAACCTTCCGAGGCCCTCTCAACTGACCAGTGATGGAAACCTAGCTGCACCCTTTACTGCGCCCCCTCTCAGCACAAAGCAGCCACAGCTGTCATCACCCCTTTTCCCTAGCAGCAGCTAGAGTCTCTATCTGTAGAGGAGAGAATGAGACAGGAACCATAGGCTTAGACAGAATAAGGTGAGAGCCTCTGGAGAAAGCAAGGCAGGATATTTGCAGTCAGAGCAATGTAACTACATGCTAAGAACCTCCCCACCACAACGCCCCTTGTCAGCCAGAAGTAGCCCATTATGACCAAAAGGCTGGAATGTAAGGCTGGAGGCACTGGAGGGAAGGATGAAGGCAGTGCAGGTGGAGCAGAGACAGAGCCAAGTAGCTCTGTGCCATATGGGGAAGGAATGTAACAGCTCTTCCTAGATTCCAGTCCCATGATGTGCCAACAAACCCCAGATGCAGACCCTCTCCATCCGTAAGGAGACCTCTGGTTGTCCATCACCTGACCCTGAGCCAATAAAAATTTCCCACCTAGCCCTAGCATGGCCCACTTCCCCCTCCCTTCCCTGTTCTCTTAAAAACTCCCCACCTCCCCTCCTGGGTGGGACTTCCCCGGCCTGTGATAGCCAGACCAGGGAACATCACCTGGGAATTGTGCTCAAATAAACTGCCTGGCCCTTTGTTGCCTCTCGTTGCCTGCTTATTTCAGTCAGAATTTATCTTATACATACTAGTTATCTAATTGTTTCAGTTTTGTCATTTGACAATGCAAACCTACGTATTTATACATCATTTGGCAAACCTTTCATTTAATAATCTTGATTTTTTAAATATCATTAATTATTCTCCATAACCTCATTTTAATGGCTGTATAGTATAAAAGCATGTTATTTACCTATTGTTGGACACTTAGGTTGTTCTTAGTTTTTAAATATTATATATTAATTTATTATTTATATACCTAGTTAAATGTATGCATAATATACTTTTATCTTTGTGCACCTTTAAGAAGTTTCAACAGAAGTAGAATAAAGCCAATTTAGTGTCTTAGAAAGCTCTACCACTTTTATATTCCGTTCTGCAGAGTATGACAGTGCCCCTTTGCCAATCTTCATGAATATTAGGTATTAGCATACTATATACTTTTAACATTTGTGCCGACACGTAGACAAGAAATTGAACCTCAGTGTCCCCTCTTGCAGTGACCAAGGGCAGGCTGCTCTAAGATGTGCCTTTGTGACATGCAGATTATTTCAGAGTTAAGAACAAGGCCCAAAAGACTCAGAAAGAAACTTTGACTTCCCACTCCCAACTGCATACAAAGAATTTAGATAAGAGGACAGCTTCAGGAGGAGAGCTATATTATAATGTAAATCAGGGGTGGTAGACAGGGAGGGATATGGCTAAGTGTTTTCGTTAGGGAAAAATTTACAACAACAGCAATCTAGTCCAGGTAGCTCCCTTCTGCTTCTCTTCTTAACAAAGACAACAGAAACTCCCTTAACTTCCTGCTCTGCCAGGCACTCACTCCCTAAACTTACTCCCTCTTGCTTGCTTGTTAGCTGTGCTTATAGAAATGTTGCAGGTATGAAGCAGAAAGATACATATCGCTCCCCTTGCCTTTGTTCAGGGCTCAGACCTTGGGAGATTATTCCTCTCTGAGCATGCCGGTGTAAAATTAAACCCTCAACACTGGAAGACCTCCAAGTGCCGCTTGGTTCTTTCATTAGCAATCCAGTCCACTTTTTTCAGGTTTTTCTGTAACATTTTAATTCCTCTTTGTTCCCCTTCATTGTTCCCATGTGGCCCAGCAAACACTTGTTTATCATTTACTCTTCTCATATTCCTGTGAATTACTTCCCTTTTCCTTTGAAGTCTCAGGACCCTACCCCCTTCTCCTTGGTTAGGGATGATATATATACCTCATTCTCCTGTCTTTGGAACCCACGTCTATGGCCTCCCTGAAGGCAAATTATGGCACGCTAAGACCCCCACCCCTTAAGATCCAATCACCACCAACCAGATGGTCACCCACCCCTTAAGATCCAATCACCAACGCAGAACACACCCTACCCCTACTCCTTAAAAATGCGCTTCCTCACCCACGAGCTGCTGCTCCTTCTCTCTGGGGGCAGCCATTTTCTCTTTCAGATAATAAAATGTCTTGGGTGGGCCCATGTCTCCTGAGTTGTTCTGGGGTAAGGAGGATCGCAGTGAGATACCCTTTCACTCCCCATATGTACATAATTAATTAAACTTCAGTGTTTTTCCTCCTGTTCATCTGTCTCATCTCAATTTGATTCTTAGACCAGCTAGAAGACCTCCTCAAGGATAGAAGAAATTTCTTCATCCCCAACACAGTGCTCAAACAACCTCTGATCCTCAACATTTTCACATGTTTATTGGTCATTTGTGATTCTGCTGGTATGAATTGTCTTTCATGCCCTGTCCTCATTTTTCTACTAGGATATTGAGTTTTCTCTGCTAATGATCATGATATCATCATTGCTCTGTTCCACATTTTGTACAATTTCCATAAGTTCTACAGGCCATGGAGGTGAAGGATCTGGACTGGATGCTAATAGAGGAGGGGCTCTGAAAACATCTACAGAGGTGGATCCTGGGCAGCAGCGAGAAATTAAAGCCTCAGAATAAGTAGGAGTGGAAAATGTAGAAAAGGAAGAAGAGAACTGTAACTCCGGGGTGGGGTTGGGTGGGGGGGGAATCCCAGGGCAAAATACCTTTGAAACCGAAATCAGTCAAAGGGAGAAATAAAGTGGAAGAAACTGTTTATTTCTTACAAGCAGACCATCCCACCCAATCTCTCCAGTCCAGATAAGCCCTCCCTTGCCCTTGTAATTACCTATTGATATGGAGATGGACTGCTTCTCTCCACTCCTTAGAAACCCCTATTGATATGGAGAGGCACTAAGGCCAGGGAAAGATTCTGAGAATACTGCAATTTTACCCACACCAGGTCAATGTAATTAATACTGTGTGCCCCATTTCCTTGAGTCCCCCATGTGGAGCTGCAGTCACCAGCCTCACTCGTGAGATGTAAGAGCAAAACAGGTCTTTATTGCTAGTTCAAACTAGGGTCTCAGTGGCCCGTCAAAACACAGGACTCGGTCTGAGACCCTCAACAAAGTTCCCTTTTTGCTTTTATACTTTGGAAATTGGGTGTGGCTTGAGCGGGAAACTTCTTACTCAAGATGGAGGACACAGAACAAAAATGGAGGGACATAGTTATTCAAAATGGAAGACACAAAGTGGAGGCAGGGAGTTGTAGGACCCCAACCTCCCTGAGAAATAAGTTAGCCTAAGAGTGGCCATCTTGAAGCCCAAAAAGCCATTCTGATATATGACTCAGAGGGAACAACTGAAACCAGGTAACTCCTCTGGAAAAACAAGTTAATCAATCATGACTGCTGGCAGCGCTAACCTCTCGGTTAGTTAATCATAAATGCCGACCCTACCTTGCTACACCCCCAGGACGTGGCACTAACCCAGAAATCGTAGGTTTGAAAAATTACTGCCTTTGTAGTATTGTTATCTTGCTATGTAGTATTGTTATCTTGTTATTACAAAACAATCTGTAACCATGGTAATCCTCTAGGGCTGAATGCCTCAGAAAATCCTATATAACCACTTAGTTGTAAGTGCTCAGGGTCCTCGTTGAGACCCGCTGCGACGGGCTGACTTGGACCCCAACTAGTTGGCTTCTGAATAAATTCCTCTTGCTTGTTGCATCAAGAAACGTCTTTGGTGAGTGATTTGGGGCGGCGCCTTCCTCAGGGGAATCCAACAGAGTCATGCAGGGGACACAGCTATTCAAGATGGAGGACACAAAATGGAGGCAGGGTTCATGTAGAGGTCATAGTTATTCAAGATGGCGGACACAAAATGGAGGCAGGGGGTCATTAGTTATTCAAGATGGGGGACACAAAATGGAGGCAGGGGGTCATTAGTTATTCAAGATGGGGGACACAAAATGGAGTCAGGGGTCATGTAGGGGACATAGTTATTCAAGACGGAGGGCACAAAATGGAGGAAGGGGTCCTACAATACCAAGATATAAATGACTGGTTGTTGGGGTCTGGGGGTTGCCTTTGAGATTTTGGGGCAACACGAAGAGCAAAGAAGGCAGCTGGAGTCGTCATGGAGAGTACTCAAAGAGGCCCCTTTATTCTTCATAAAGCTGTACTTCTTTTACTGCTACAGTGCTAATTCATGGTTGCATAAATATTGAAGATGCACATGCGTGCAGCCTTCATGGCCAGGTGTCTGGCCTTCAAGGTCCTTATCTAGCTCTTTTCCCATGGGTACAACACACTGTTTTCAGGTTTCTCAAGGCCAGACATATTTGGGGTGAAGCAGCGGATAGCTGTCCTCATAGAACAGTAGGGGAAGGGTCGGGGAGGCCTTCCCTACAGTGGTAGACTTTCATTTTCTCAGCAGTATTGTCATGTCAGAAGTCTTTTCAAAGCATATTAGTCTATAAATATATAATTGGTAAATCTGTTTGGGAATGGGGGTGCAAGCAGGAAGGGAACCTCTGTATGGGTGAAATGGGCAGAAAGGAATAGAGTCGCTTCCCCTACTTTCTGAAAAAATACAGTTGAAAGCCCTGCCTGGCGCTGGCTGGTGCTGCCGAGGTGCCCTCCACCCACAGCGACAGTCATTACCTGGACTCACATCGTAATCACACCTGCTATAAGCCAAAGCACAGATGTGATTTTTCTCTATTTTGTCTCCCCAGTGTCACCCATACACACACACACATGTGCACACACACACACACTGACTTATTGTAAACATTTGTTCAATGAATAAACAAATACACATATATTATAACTTGCACATTATAGTCCTTGACTCACTACAGTGAATCAATAATACCTTTTGAGATGAAAGCTAGTTGGGAGTGTAGAGGAGCTATCCCTCCTCCCCACAACTCTGAGGGTGAGGCATTTGCCCTCCAACCAGGAATCTATAGAACTCACCCTTTGAAAAATTAATCTGCCCTGGAGAAAAGTCGTCAGGATGCTGACACTTGGGAGTGCCTCACAAAATAGACCTGTTTGCCACCCAGTCACCCTCCGTTGACCAGCTCTGCCAGTTCACTTAGAGTGGCTTCATTCTTAAACAGGAAAGCACGGCCACATATCACCACACATCTGAAAGGGCCTCCAGCATGAGGGAACACCAGCAAGGAAAAGCAAAAACAGTAACAACAAATCCAAGGAAGAAAACCCCATACTTAATATCTTCAAAGAGACAGAAAGAACAATGAAAAAGAACTCTTGAAAACTGAAAACAACACAGCTTTAAAAAAAAAAAAAAAAAAAAGGCGCCAAAAGAGTGGACAGATAAAATCCAGAAAGTGGGGGTGTGGGCAGGCCCACTGGAATGAGGAATGAAAAAAGGGAAGGAGACCAACGTTAGACGATAAAAGTTTTCAGACAGAAGCTACAGATAAAATGGAAAGGGGCCATTTCTTGAAGAAATGAGACAAGATTTCACAGAATTGAAAACACAGTAATGCTGATTAAAAGTGCACTGCTCAATTTAGAAAGGAACATGGCAGAGCTACAATCATGAAATTTCAGGAGCTAAAAAGGGGATCCTAAAACTTTTGGTGAGAGAGGAGGGAGAGAATAACAGGTCATATAGAGAGAATTAGGAAGAAGTTAAGTTGCCATAACACAGAGATAGGAAATGGAGCAGCACAATCAAAGTAGAAATGAGTTGCTAACTCACAGCACAGCTCAGAGGAAGAGTCCAGGGCTGGAAGGGCAGCTCAGGAATCTTCACCACCCAGGTTCCAATTCTGAGTTCAAAGGGGCAGCCTAGGTCTGTCCATCCATCATGTCTACATCCCACCTCAGGGAAGAGGGAAAGCGAAAGGCCTCAGGATGCTGATCCTGCTGGATCATAGCCTAAAGGGGAAAATACAGTTTCAACGCACACTTTGCTGGCCAGAACTTAGTCACCTGTCCAGACAGCACTGCAGGAAGGTGAGGAAACAGTCTCCAGCTAGGCTTACAGGGAGGCATGATTTTGCTCCAGGAAAGAGGAGGAAGGGATACTGGAGGACAAATAGAAGCTTCTATCCCAAACAGAATCAAAATTAAATCATATTTCTTCACAATATCACTGGATACTAGTAACCAATGTAGTGATGTCTCCTCCATAATCTGGAAAGGAAATGGTCTTTGCCCCAAGATGTCATACTAACCAGTATCTCAGATCAGATTAGACAAAGGTATTAAAGATCTACAAACAGAATTTTTTGGAAGTTATGGAATATACTCTATTCAAGGAGCAATCCAAGAAGAGGACACAGGATCCAAGAAGCTGGCTGCTTGGAGAGCAAACAGTACAGGATGGTGTGAAAGGCAGATGGCTCTGGGAGGGAAACATCCAGGGGAAAAAAATGGAATCAATACATTATCTAATACATTTGACCATTTGGGAAAAGTTACTAACAGGAATATACTGGATCCAACAAGGCAAATGAGGAAAACTTTAAGGATCAGTAGAAAAAAAATATGTGAGTAAAAATAAAAAAAATAAATTATTAAGTCCAGGGCGGAAAAAAGAGTACAAGAGAGGAACTCTTTTATAATACACTTCTTGGACCTATAACTAAATATGTTATGTGTCATAATAAGGCAAACCGACTACTGGATTGACTCAAAACTGTGATGCAACTGTGGAACAGAGAGGATGTGAGCAGGAAAATATGTGCCGGGGTGGGGGTATGGACACTGTGAAGTAAATTCTCATTGACCATTATGGGACATCTGCATTATAAATTCAAGAAGTAGCAGGAAATTGTATTTGTAAAAAGAGAAATGCAATGTAAAAATAAAATGAGAATATTTTTACCCTTCAGACTGCTGAAATCCTGTAAGCTGGGTAATATACTCCTTTGGCAAGGCAGTAGGGAAGCAGGCATGTCAAACATTGCTGAGAAGTGTGTAAACTGGCCTGAACGTTGTGGATGACAATTTGACTATCTTATCAAAATCATGAATGTGGAGACTGTTTGAAGCAGCAATGCCACTTATGAGAATTTATCCTAGGAAGAAATTATTCCTATGTGTAAATGACACAATAACAAAATAACACCTGAATATTCACCGTAGCATTTTTTGTAAAGGAAAGATTGGAAATACAGCAAATGTTCATGTGCTTTAAAAAAAATGTAAGGATGCTCTATTTATTGAAGTGGCAAGACTAATTAAATATTTTCCTAGCTCAGAAAAGCAAGGTGCAAAACAGAACATAGATGATGCAATCCCCATTGCTGTTCACCAGCATGTCTGGTTCTCTGACCACTGGGCACACGGCAAGTTTGTACTTCCCCACCCGCTTGAAACTGTCAGATCCATGTGACAGTCCATGAATGGAGCACACAAGACGTAACACCTCTGGGAGGAAGCCTTTAGGGGCAGGAAGCAATCTGTCATATTCCCTGCCCCTTGACATCACAAGCCTGCCACTCCAGGTGGAAGAGGCTTTGTTGGTTTGCAACCTGAGTGAGGAGAATGTGCAACAGCCCAGGTGGGACGTGGAGAAGGAGGGAGTGTGAAGCCACTAAGGGTTTGGGTTGCTTGTTATGCAAGGCAGCCTACTCTACCATGACTGAGAGGGCACACTATACCACCTTTTGGGCAAAAAAAAAAAAAAAAAAAAAAAGGAAAGGTAGAAACAGTAAATACATAATGTTGTTTTCTTGTATTGTATAGTGGTATACACAGAAAACTAGTAACTGGTTACCTAGGAAAGGGGAGTTGGGTAGAACAGGATGGATGGGAGAAAGCAGTAGGAGAGATATACCAAGTGGCATGTTTTATTTAGAGCCAATATTACTTATTCAAAAACTAATTTAAAAAGAAACATAGCATAAGGACAGTATTTAGACATCTGGAAGTAAATAGATGAAATGGTGAAAGTACTTGAAGGTAGCTATTTGTAGGGAGTGGATTCTGAGGAGGAGGGTTGTCCCTTTCCATTTAGCATTATCTAAAAACTGTGTGTATGTATTACTTTGACTAAAAATTTAAGAGAAGGAACCCATGGGGAGTGACCACATTAGTGCCTTGTGAAGTGATGTGATGAGGGCTAAGGTCTGTCCAGCTCAGTCCTGGGGAAGAGGCATATGAATGGAAATGTCTGAGCCCTTCGAAGTGCCATCTCTTATGCTTGCAGGTCATTTATGGAACACTGCAATCAATCTTGAATTTGGCATCAACTGTAGCATTAGGATTGGTAACTGACTTCACAGGCCCGAAGAGAGGAAAACTAGAAAAGCCACAGGTATTTTTGCTTTTGCCAAGAAAGACAACATCTGCCTCAGGATATCTCCCTCCACTGCCACTCCCTAACCTGCTGCCCAAGTCAGGAATCCGAAAGTCCTCCTTCTCTTCCCTCTCCCTTAACTCCACATGCCTTCAAGTGCCCGCTCGCAGGTGCTGCCTTTACTTGGTCCTCTTCCCTCCATCTCTGCTGCCCAGGTCGCTGCAGCAGCTCCTTAGCTCACTGTTGTTGCATCCAGTTTGGGCACTGCCAGGACATCCTTTTTGCTGCAACCAGAGTGATCTTTTCAAAGATGAATGTGACCACATTACTTACCAGCTGAAACACTTCAGTATTCCCCCAGTGCCTTCAAAATAAAATCCAGCCACCTATGACAGAACCTTTGTTATCTGGCCCCTAGGGCCACCGGTCTGCCTCATCTGTCTTTACCACTTACTTGATCCTCCAACTCAGTGAACATTCAGGTCCTGAAAGCAACCAATGGCTATTTTTCTTTTGCCTCCAAGCCTTCATGCATGCTGCTCTCCCTACCTCAAACACTCTTCCCCCACTTAATTCCTACTTGACCTCTTCTAGTTCAGACATTCTTTTTCAGAAAGTCTTACCTGGCAGCCTGGGTACCACTCCCTTCTGTCCCCAGAGTACCCTGGCTCTTGCCAGAGCAGCATCAGGCTGGACTCTGTGAAAGCACTTATTTCATTTTTTTATCTGACCCCTCTTTGGGACCATCAACTTTGACTTTTTTATGCAGTATTTTATCCTCAGCTCCTGGCACATGGTAGGAGTTCAGTAGATACCTGTTGAAGAGGAATGCAAATGAATAAGAGTCAAATCTAGAACCAAGTCCAGGTTGATAAATCATTTTCAATCAACTAGAAACAGAATAAATATATCTGTCTTTCTCTGGTAAGGTACAATACTAAGTCCAGTAATTTTATTTTTAAAACGTCCAAGTTCTCCAAGTGATCCAAGTTGGCTGGCACCCCAGATATAATCAATAATAATACCCAGTGCTTGGTTAAGAGCTAAGTTCTAAATGACAAATGGTTTACAGCAGTGTGATCTTTATCAGAAGCAAAAAATCCTTACACAGTCCCAATCTAAGGGACTGATGAAAAGGTGCAGTTGGCAGATAAAATCTGCTGCACAAACCCCTTCAATAATTTAATAAACATTGATATGAACAGAGTACAGTTGACACCTGCTACTGCTAAATGTCTGGGGCTCTGCTTGGTTTTTGCAAGCAGTTCAATCTGCCTTTTATCTATTACATCACTATTCCCCAAGGAAGAGAGATAACAGCTCATATAAGTTTCCAGAATGAGGCATTGTTTCCTTCAGCCACAATTCTGTAATTTCTCATTAGACTGTCAATGGCAATATTGAAGATGGGCAATTTGTACAAAGAAGAAATGTCACCCCTGGGGATTATACAGTATGTAAATTAGGAAGCAAAGTGGTGACATATGTACTGAGAGGACAGAGTTCATAAAATGTTTCTCCAGGTTGGCCCAAGTCTTACTTGGAATTAGAAGAATAAATTTAACCAATATCTGGGCAAAAGTTTTCAGTGCCTCAGAGGCATGAGAAAAACAAAGACTTTGAGGAGAGTTTACTAGAAAGCTAAATTTGTCTTCATTTTTCATTTAAAATTTTCAGCCTCAGAGGCATGAGAAAAACAAAGACTTTGAGGAGAGTTTACTAGAAAGCTAAATTTGTCTTCATTTTTCATTTAAAATTTTCATTGTGTGCATCCAATGTTATTGTGTTTGACATTTTTAATAGGAAACAATGTTAAGTGGAAAAACAAGTAACAGAATAATGTGTAAAATATAAAAAGTAGAGGAAGAAAAAATATGTTTGTATGTTGGGGAATGTTCTTCAAAGTATACACACAAAAACTAAGGAGGGTTTCCTCAGGGAAGGGAACTGGGAGTCTGCTGGAAAAGCACGGGAGAGAGAATTTCACTATATTCCCTTTGGATCCTTTTGGATTTTGAACCATATGAATACATGAATTATTCCTCCCAAAATTAATTAACTAAGATGAATGAAATGACTTGAAATAAATAAGCTGAAACAGTGAGAATGGTATATGACAACAGTTGATATCCTTACTTGGAAAAATTTTTTTAATTGGCAATTCTATGTCAGACTTCAAAACAAGTAAGAAATTTTTAATCTATAATGTCCTGAAGTCTGGGAATTATTTCTAACTATTTTTTTTTAACAAGCCAATATTAAATGAATGCATTGGCATTGCAGTTAAAGAAGTCACATGCCTGACCCATCCCTGGTGACGCTGACTTTACCCACTTGGTTAAGGGTTGTCAGCCACTTTGTCTACCTTAAGGTTACTCTTTTATCCTTTGTAAGTATCCTTTTTATCCTTTGACCCTCATCTTTAACAGTCAACAAAACTTCTAGAAAGATAGATAAATATCCTGTCCCTCACTGAACTTTCGCTGCTACTTTTAGCGTCTGCTGATGATAGTGTAAAAGCACCCAGCCCCTCATTCCTTCATATTTATTAGTTGGCATTCTGTTGTTAGGAAGCACTTTCCATTTTGCCTAATGTACTTGATAACTTATTTCTTTAAATCATCATAGACTCATAAAAAATTTAATTTTATTTTAGGCAAAGGGTTTTAGTCTATTTTATTAATATTAATTTTGATGCTTCTGTTGACCAGAAAATACTTTTTCCTGGGGAAAAGGAAAGTTAGTGGAAAATCCTTTTATTTTATTTTTTTTAAGCCATGGACCACAAGGCCCTACATTTTGATCTGGCCTGACTGCACCTTATGACTGAAATTCTGTCCTCTCTCACACTTGTTTACTCTGCTGTAGTTTCCTGTTCTTTAACCACGCAGGCTTGTCACTGCCCCAAGGCCTTTGCACCACTGCTCCCTCTTCCTGCAGTGCTCTTCTGCCTATCTTCCCATGGTTGGCTCCTTGATTCATTCAGGTATCTCCTTCCCAGAGAGTCATCTAATTTCAGGCCAATGCCTTCTCCTCTCCTGTATTTTTAACCTCTCACCCTTTATTGGCTCCTTCCCAGTATTCAACATGTTCTAGCCTTTTCACCTTAAAAAACAGAACAAAAACAAAAACAAAAAACCCAAAACTCTAAGAATTCTTCCCCTCCCTCTTCAGTTTTGCCTTTCCCTCCCCACATGACCCTACCCCTCATCTGCTGTCAGCAAAACTTCTAGAAAATATTGGCTACACTCTCTCAAGTTCCATTTTTTCACCTTCCATTTATCTCTCCACCCACTGCAAGCTGAATTTATGCTCTGCCCAAAAACTGCAATTTAATTACTCCCATTAGGGTCACCAACAATCAGGGCAATGGCTAGCCCATACAGTCCCTTTGTGTGGACTGGAAAAAGGTGCCCCTACTTCAAGACACTTGCTTCCCTCTGTCAGAAAACAATCATTTTAAGTGTACCAATCTGTACCACAATGTGCATGGTGCCCACTGGCATTGTGCAGTGCTCTACCCACACAACCACACTTGAGGGCTCTGCCAGTAGCCTCCTTTCTGCCAGATTGGAAAAAACACTCAGTCTTATTTTACTTGACCACTTTCAGACTCCCCTATGACCATCCTTCTTCTTCATATTCTGATTGAGTGTCCACTCTGTGTCTGGCATTGTTCTGGGCACTGACCGCTTGGAATTTCCAAGTACAATGCTGAAGCATCGCAAATGTGTCTGTCTCAGATGCACATATCCAACTGCCTCCCTGAACACTGAACCCGGATACCAAACAGACTCCTCAAACTTAGCTTGTCCAGAACTGAGCTCATCATTCTCTCCTCTAGATTTATTCCTTTTTCTGTTTTAGCAAATGATATCCATTCAGTTGCTCAAGCATGAAGGCTGGGTCACCTTAGACTCCTCCCTCTCTCCCACCCAAGAAAGTAGTAAGTCTTATTTTTCTACTTCCTAGGTATGGTCCTGTTTCACCTGCTCCTGTCCCTCGCCGTTGCCACCACACTGGTCTCCATGTCAGTCTAGGCCTCTCATTTCTGACCCAGAATACTGCAGCAGGTTCCCATCTGGCCTCTGCTTCCTGCCCTCCCCCTGTGAATTCATCTGGAGGACTTTTCTTATGACACAGGCTGGTGATGTCAACCTCCTGCTTAAAACCCTGTAATGGCTTCTTCAGCCCTCAGGATTTAAGTTGTAATTCTTCCATGTGGTTCATAAGGCCAGCTGTGACCAGTCACCTGCTCTACCCTTCCATCTCCATTTCTCTCCCTTTCCCCTGCAGCCCTTACCCCTTCACTTTCCCCCCCCACCCCATCCACACCGAATATGCCAATCTCTCTCTAGTCCCTGGATCTGCCTACGCTGTTCCGTCTGCCTGGAGGAGCTCATTTGTCCCCCACCCCACCCCCTCACCTTGTTGACACCACCTTTTTCTTCAGGCTTCAACAGAGATTTTACTTTATCTAGGAAGCCTCCTCTGAAACCCAGAATCTGGGATGGGGTTCTTCTCTGGGCTGCCATAGGAAACCAGCAGCATTTGTCACACTGTACAGTAATTAGCTGTGAATGGGCCCGTAACTCCCTTTAAGTATCTAAGAGGGAAGGGACCTTGTCTCTCTTGTTTAGGATTCAATCCCTGGAATCCAGCACAGTGACTGGCATGTAGTAGGTGTTCAGGAAATACATGTTGAATGAATGTAGAGTTAGATGAGTGTTGAATATGGAACCCAAAAAGCCCAGACTCCCCGCAGGAATGTTGGAAAGTCATAATCTTTCTGTACCTCAATGTCCTCACTTGTTATATTGAAATACACCAGAGTGTGGCAGCTTTAAAACATAGTCCCCAAATTCCTTGAAACGCCCCTGACGGGTAGGACCTAGGTCCCTCCCTTAGAATTTGGACCCTGTGATTTCTTGACCAAAAGATCATGACCCAGGTTATGTTGTGATTATTTTGGGGTTCAGGTCTTAAGGAACTAGTAACTTCCATTTATTTTCTCCTGGGAGGCTTGCTAGGGGAAGCCAGGCACAGTGCCATGGGGAAGCACGGCCTCTGCAGGAGCCTCCATGGAGAACACCCAGGCCTGCAGGCCTGCAACCCTCAGCCTCAGCTGAGCTCTCAGCCCGCAGCCGGCCCCACCTGCCAGCTATGTGAATGATCCACCTTCAAAGTGGAGGTGATCGTCTCCAGTCCCAGTTGATGGTCCACCCCCAAGTGGAGAGAGCCTTCCTCTCTGAGCCCAGCTTCAACTCCAGATTGTGGAGCTAAATAAAAGAATGCAGTGTTTTAAGATTTAAGTTTTGGGTAATTTGTTATACAAGGGGCAATAGTGGCAGAAGTCAAAAAGGGGGGAGTGTTAGGAAAGGCCTCAAGGAGGGTGTTAGTGACAGGGTAAGGGGGCTGGCAGGGAGGAACTGAGAAAAACATCTGGAGTTAAGAGAAAAAGAGACTAACTATAGAGGAAAGGGAACTCTGGCAATATTGTTGCCATGGCTTCCTGTAATGCAAAGAATTGAAAGTATGCTTCATGAACTCAGCAATTTAGCTAAGGGGATTTCTGGACTAAGTTTCTAAAGTGCTGCCTGGCTTCTTCAAGCTGCCTATACATGAATACAACTAGTCATGTTGTCAGAGACACTGTCTCCATGCACCAAATCATACACACTCTATGGCTTCTCCAGGTCCCCAAAGAGGCTGCTCAGTCACAATAAGACTGGCTAACCCGGTCTTCCATGCTGCTCAGCCCTCCTGCAGAAGGGGGCACACAGAAGCCCAACAAAAGCATTGCCATCTTAGGTGATGACCTGCAGTCTTCTGTACTGCAGCCTCTCCCCTCGCCCACGACTCTCATAAAATATATATACAAAAATGTTTATAACACAGTTGACTTTTGAACAATGCAGGGGGTAGGGGTGCTGACCCCCCACCTAATCAAAAATCCATATATTTGATTCCCCCAAAGCTTAACTACTAGTAGCCTTCTGTTGACTAGAAAAGCCTTACTGATAACATAAACAGTTGATTAACAGTTTGTGTTATATTATATGCTGCATTCTTACAATAATGTAAGCTAAAGAAAATGCTTTTTCAAACTGTTGTAAATATAAAATTTTTTTCCAATATTATTTTTTGAAAAAAATCTGCTTAAAGTGGGCCCACACAATTCAAGCCCATGTTGTTCAAAGATCAACGGTATGTGCAAAAGGCATAAAGAATAAGAAACCCTCCCCTTCACTGTAACCACAATCCTGCATTTTTTGTTTATCTTTCCTTTGTTTTCCTTCACAGTTTTACCACATATGTATGTATCCTGACTGACATATCTAATTTAGTTTCTGAAATGGAATCATCCTGCATTCATTCTCTTGCACTTTGCTTCATTCTCTCAATATTATGCTCACGGATTTCATCTATTTGGTTTTTGTCTTAACCTTTGTAACCCATCTATAAAGTAAATGACTACTCACGACGTCTATTTTGGCACAAAGTATTGTGCAAACCAGATGATCAGTAAACACGGTAAGATTGTGCTGTGCGAGATATGTCCACAGAGTAGCCAGGCAGTTCATTTTGTTGCAGGTGTAGTTGCAACACTGGAGAATAGGAGTTTCCAGATGAGGTATAAACATTTCTGGTAAAGACAAAAAATGAATCACTTGGTGTAAATTTTTGCAGTGCACGTATACTTCATCATTTAATTTGACAAACTCATTTTGTAACAAAAATGCAAGAAAAAAATTAATAAAGCTTGAAAAGTCCATCTTTCACATCATCCCTTCCCAGGTATCTTTCATTAGTGCCAATAACTGAGAACCAAGCCATTAGTGAAGGAATAGAGAAAATGATGTCTCATCACTCCTTTAAGTATTTCCTTAAGTAAATATCATAAGTAATATAGTAATATAGATCAATCTTTCATGCAATGTAGATATGGGGAAAAAAAGCAGCTAATCCTCTGGCCATCAAACTAATAGGCCTAGTATTCTTCCAGGGGCCAGAGTGTTTGTATCTTCAGCCAGTCTCCACTGTTATTTTAGCTTTTCAGTTCTCAATCTTGACTGCCTTTTGTAATCACCTTTTGAACTTCAAAAAATCCTGATGCCTGTTTCCCATCTCCGGAGATTCCCTGGAGTGGTGCCTGGGCATGGGGATTTTTAAAAGCTTGCGACTCTAATATGCAGCAAAGTTTGAGAACCACTGGCTTAGACCACTCTGTCCTTCTCTCACAGTGTCTGACACAGTGCCTGGATGTAAAAGTCACGCTCAGAATGAAACAGCAATGTTCTATTTGTCAGCAAAAAGAAAGGTGTAGTCTCACAACCACAAACTCTTGCTGGTGCACTGGCGCAAAGACAAGAAGGCAAGTGCTGCCGAGTGAACGGGGGATGCGATGCCGCTGGACTCTCCTGGAAAGAGCGTCCACCCAGAAGCGCAGACACTGTTTAGCATGTCCCGCAGACCTCATTGGATGGAAGTTCCCTACGAAGCGCAGGGGTGTCGGGCTGATGCTTGTTCCTACTGTGAAGGCAGCGACTGCAGGGGCAGGAGTGGCCACTCCAAGCTCTGGCCCAAGTCTGGTTGACTTGCAGCCACTGGGATCCCTTTGAACTCCACAGTACCGTGCGGCAGTCCTTCCGGCGCGGGAAGCTGGGCGCGAGTGGGACGGGGACGGGGGAACAGCGCCGGGTGCGGCGAAGACTCCTCTAGGAGCGCGAGTGGCTGTGCTCACTGGATATACGTAGCCGGCGGCTGCACGCGCACTAAAAGTCCCGGCATGCCTGAGGGTGGGGCGCACACTACAAGTCCCGGCATGCCTCGAGGCAGGGGGCGGGGCGGCACGGGGCCTGGAGCAGGCAGCGAGCGCTGGGCTTCTCGGGAGTTGCAAGGCGGAGCCTCCGGGCTGTCAGCCGGCGCCCTGGGCGCCCGGGCGGGGTGGTCGCGGCCATTGGCAGAGAGGTGGGAGGGGCGGGGCTCCGCGGGCTGCTGCGGGCAGGACTGAGCCGGGAGGCAGGCGGCCGGCCGCGGTTGCTGGGATCAGGGTGCTGCGTTCCGGTCTGGCCATGGCAGCGGCGCCCCTGAAAGTGTGCATCGTGGGATCGGGGAACTGGTGAGCGTGGCGGGCCTGGCGTGGGCTCCGCTCCAGGAGGCCCCTCTCCCGGGTGGGCTGGAACCGTGGGTCCCCGCCGCGGCGTGGGCACGGGGAACCGCGCTCAGGAAGGCGGGGCGGGCGGCCTGGCCCGGACTGCTGGCGGCCGGGCTGGGCACGGCCGCCCAGCGAGGTCGCGTCGAGGCTCTGGCTCTGGAGCCTGGGTCAGCCCGCCTGCGGGGCAGCGCGCAGCCAGTTGGGCACTGCGCGCCGCGGGCACCTGTCCGCGCGCTCCTTGCCGCCGGCGGGCGCACGGGGCCACCTGCTCGCCACGCCTGGGGCTTTTGCGCAACATCCTGAGGGCGTGCTTCATCCTTCTGCGCGGATCGCCGGGGTCGGGAGTCCCGAGCATTCTCACTGTAGTTTCGGCTTGGAGGAAACCGAGGCAGAGGGCTACAAGGTTGTTGTTACCTGGAGCGGTGCTGTCCTTCAGGCTGTGCGTCTCGGCCCCCCTCTGATACGTCCACTATGTTAGTAACGTGTTGGAAAGAAAACCCGAGTTGCAACAGGCCCCGCCCCCAGAGTAATTCAGGGACGTTGGGAATTCTCCACTGGGGAGATGTTTGCGAAGCTTTGCGTCTGCGCTAGGCGTTATTTGACTTTTAATATTTATAAAACACTCTGTGCCAGGTGCTCTTCTAAGCACTGTGTAAATGTCAGCTTTTCTCGTTACCTTTATCGAACTCACACAGTGGGATTCTCGGGTGTGTTTAGGTGAATATAGAGGAAAGAGGGAGAGGGTAGAAAATAGTATATGGTATTTTCGATCTTTTTTCCATTGCTGGGCACTATTTTCCCCACATCCGTGAGACAGGTATACCGTAGGTGGAGAGAGATGTCCCAGTGCTTCTGTTTTTCAATGGCCTGACCTCATCACAGTCCAGGCTCTAGGAGTGCTGCTGCCCTGGTACGAGTGACTTGGTCTTACTTAGTTTTACTTTATAAGACTTGGCCCAGAAAGTTCTTCTTGGATGAAACCTTACCTCGTTCTTCTACACGTTTCCATCCCAGCAAGGCCTGTTCCTCGTCCTACCCGCCCACCACCCACTCCCATCCCCTCCCATCCCTGCAAGGTAATGATTTATTTGATTATCTGTTTCTACTCTTCTCCACCCAGCTCTTGAGAATAGCATCTACCCTGGAGCCTGGTGTATGCTAAATAGTACTAAATGAATGTCTGAAAACTAGTTTAAAATTTTTAACTATGTTTGATTAGGCAGTATATTAACCTTTAAAAGTCAAAAGCTACCCGAAACCCCACAGAAGACCAGTGAAACATCTCCCACCCACACTTTGCCCCCAAGGTACTTTTTGGAGGAAAGCCAGTGTTATCAGCTTCTTCTGGCACTTTCTGGAGGAATTACATCAGATGTAAGCAAATGTTTACATATATTCCTTTCCTTTTCTATCCTGCAAATATTAGGGTATTGCGTACTTTTCTGAAAACTTTTTACGACCAACAGTGGCATGATCTGCACAACATTTAATGGAGTTGGGAGCTATCTGCTGCAGAGCTTCATTTGGGCTTTCAGGTTGGCTTTGCCAGTTTTTTATCTCAGCGTCATTTGAGTGAGATGTCAGCTGCCCTGTTGGCCATGGGACTGGAAAAGCATCCACTTAGCGGTGTTTTTTTAACATTCTTTTCCTTTTCTGTGAAAGGACACAGAACTACAGATGACAGAGCCTTTTCCTAATTTGCAAGGTGCAGGCGGCTTGGCCATGCTGGATTTGGGCCTGGAGCAAGAGTGAAGTGAACCACCTGCTCCTTCCGCTGGGATTTGGCTGCCTTCCCGCGACTTTAAGTATGATGTGCTTGACTGTTTTCTTTGCCTGTTCCAGCCCAAAGAAATGGAGTGAACCTTGGCGAGTGACACTGGAGCAGAGCCCTTGAGAAATGTGCAGGGCTGGTAGTTTGGGCTGGCCTCCTGGCTCCATTAAGTATGGGATGAGACATAAACTGTGGCTGGCTTCTCTGCCTCTGCACCCCACTGCCTCTGCCGTGGGTGCAGAGCCACTCCAGTCTTAGAGAGGGAAGATCACGACCTCCCTAGAGAGTTTTAGGAATTTAGGAACTGAGAACAACATGGAGAGGCATCCTAGGGGCCCCATCTGGGTGCTCTGCTCTGGTCTGCAGACATTTGAGGGTTTGCCCCCTGTAGAGATTGTGGTCCTCCAGGGCATACAGACACAACAAGACACAATCCCTGCCTTGAGGTAGTTTACATTCAGATCAGAGATTAGATGTTACATTTTAAGTAGTGTTTCTTAAAATGTGTTCCAAAAACCACTTGCATCGGAATTATCACTGAAGCTAAACTTGGGGAATCATATCGCTGAGGATGGCACTGATTTTTCCCTAAAGGACTTTTAGCCTTTTGCTAATTTTAAGCCATTTCCAAGAGATGCATCTACCCTTCCAGATTTGATCCTCACCTCAGGATGGTAAAGTTGCTTAAGCAGTGTTTACATTTGGGACTTTGAAGTAGTTCAAATGCTTATGTAAATAAAAGTGTTGTGACATCTAAACCCATAGCTAAAAGGTAACCCTCACATTGAGAGCCTCCCTGATGTAAATGATCATCAGGTGCAGTACAGATACCAGATGACTGAACCAAATCTAGCTGACTTGCCAGGGAGCTTCAGCCAGAAATGATATGAGAGGGGAAGAGAAGCCCTTGTATAATGTCCTTGTCCTGTCTGCCGGAGTCCAGCTCCATCCGGGAGGGGTGGGGGGGTGAAGCCCAAAAGGATGAGATGGAGTCGGTGCACAGAGACGACACAGAGTCAGATGGAGGTGGTCTCTTGACAAAGTGCTGATGACAGCTTTATTTATACCATTTTGCACAAGGATATGATTATTTTTTATTTGTTCTTTTGATTAACAAGCATAGGCAAGCTTTTTTCTCTCTGTTTCCTTCTAATCTATACATGGTTAGTCAGGTGTTAGGTGATCTTTTTTCTGTTCCTTGACCGAAACTTTTCCCAGCAACATGTACTCTATTGTGTCTCCTGTTTCTACGCAAAGTGGTTTCTAAGTAATGCATGTGACCACAGAAACGTGCAGCATGTAGCAGTGACTATGGAGTCTATCAGCTCAGGGTGAAATACAGGTCACTCACTACTACAGTTAGCTAGACAGATATCATCATCTATATTTTTAATGCAATGGGTACATTTTATCCCCTCATAATATTTATTCTATCATAGGTAGATGCAAGATAAAGACAGAAAGCATGATTTAGAACTGTAAGAAGGCAAGTGTAGATGATCAGGTTTGTGCCTATAGACTAGGTATTAATCCAAGTTAGACAAGGGCAACAAAACATCCACGGGTGTAGAAGATATCTCTCAACACTGGGGGGAGGGGTTCTAAGCCTCATCTCTGTTGGCCCCCATTTTCTCACCTGATGGCTCCCCTGCGACTGTGCCTGTCTTAGGTTGTTCCTCCTTTGCGGAGTATTACCCGTCTCTGGCTAACCAGCCATCTTCCGGGGCCATACAGGGAAATGTAAAGCTGGTAACTAAGAGAGAAGTATTGTTCTTTGAAAATGTTAGCTTTTCACTTCTTTGCAGATTTATGCCCCATGGCTTCTATGCCCAGCACTTGTCTTGAGGTATTTTTATCACTTGGATGAATTATGGTACTTGGTAATTTCACGTAAGAGGTACAAATTCTAGTAAAGAGCTGTAATTAGGAAGGAAGAAGAAAAGCTATAGAAGTAGCAAATAGAAGAAAACATGAGGTGGATTAAGTGTCAAATGGGGTTATGCTATTCAATATTCCCTCATAACTCTATTTCTCTAATTTTCTTATGAAACTTCACTAATTTCACTAGCATTATAAGGAAAAAGGGGGGCATTCCCACTTAGGTGGAGATGGGGTAGTCAGTGTTTGACTAGCTACCTGCAGGTTTTGGTATTCCATGCCAAGATCGCCATCTGGCCCCTGCATGTTCTATTCTTCAGGAGCACTGTCCTGAAAAGCTTTTGGGAAGGTTATGTTCTCCTCCTTTCCGTGCTGCTTATCAAAGCTTAGCTTAATCTTTGGCAAAAATGCAAGCAAAAGCAAAGCCAATAGTATAATAGAGAAAAACAAAATCAAGGTGGGTAATAGAGGGAGCCAGCTGCAAAGGCCCTTGATTTGTGGGGGTCTTCCTCCACCCTGAGCTTTGCTACACAGCTTGAGTAACATGGCTCCTGGCAACTGTCCTTTGGCACTTCCTTTCCTCTAGACAGGTCAGAGAGAAGGCGGAGGGGGCCTGCAAGCATCCAGTTGATGCATGATTCATGCCGCCCACTACTGGGGGTCCAGGGGGCTGCTTCCTAGCCTGCATGACTTCATGGCCCTAGTGACTCAGAAGAACAACAAAAAGAACACAAACAAAAGCTTCTTAAGTTCCTTCAAAGGTGAAACAAAGTTTCTTCACCAGAACCTGGGAAAGATCACCCAGGCACAGTGCCAGATCCACTTCTAGAACTTAAACCCTCAGGGCTATTTTCACAGCCAGACTTCTGTGCTGGGAGCATATGTCCAGAAACTCACACCTCCTTTGGGGGCAGAATAATACAGTGGTGTAAGGAAGGCTCAGGATTCCAGCTCC